TTCGAATGGGTGATAAGCATGGATTCGACGAGGGCAACAAGAGCTGGACATGTGATTTCTGTCAGAGCATATTTCTTTCAAAGGCTGGCTGGCTGGTTGAATTATGTGAAGTCAGATAAAGAAAACAAATCACCCTTGACATTCCACAGACACAGAGTGTCACAGTCTGCACGCTGTGTGACAAGGTATGCAAAAACAGAACAGCTCCGGACTGGAAAGGCAAGGTAATAAATCCACTAAGATGCAAAGGGCTACTGAGTGTAAAAGAATATGATTAATAGGTTGAAATTTATAAAATCTTTACCATAAAACGATTTTTTCAGGAAAATAGGTTTCTCAAGAACAGTTTACTGTTATTGCTTTTTCCAGTATGGAATGGAGTTTCCTTCCTAATATTTTGTTTGAAGACGTGTGAAATGTCAGCATCTTGATTACATCATTAAATTCGAAGTGAACGCAAATTGTCGCACAAGAAGCTGATAACATTAAAGAAGACCACTGAAATGAAGCGTCCTGGATATGATGATAAACTACATCCGCGTCCTGGGTAAGACGCTAAACTATACCCGCGTCCTGGATAAGGCGATAAACTATATCTACGTCCAACAGCAAGGCCGCTGATCAGAAGGTTTTGAGGTGCGTGGAACCACCTCTTAATTGCTGGTGTTCCCAGGTCCACCATGACCCGGGGTGGTAGCACCTGTTAGGGTCCCTCCAATGGGCTAATAGTTAACCACCAAACTGGGGTCAAAACACTATGAAAGTGTAAAAATAGGTTTTAATAACAGCAATACATTTTTGTAAAATATTATCAGGAATGAATTTTTGAAGAAAAAATTATTACCAGAAATATATTTTTGAAAAATAAATATTACTAGCAATACATTTTTGAAAAAATATTACCAGCAATACATTTCTGAAAAAAAATATTACCAGCAATACATTTCTGAAAAAAAAATACATTTTGGAAAAAAAATATTACCAGCACTATATTTTTCCAAAAAATATTATCAGCATTACATTTTTGAAAAAAAAAATATTACCAGCAATACATTTTTAAAAAATTCAAACTTATCAGCAATACATTTTTGAAAAAAAATATTGCCAGCAATACATTTTTATTTGCAATTCAGAACCACTGGAGTGGTTTCCGATCTGAGAAGATTCAATGCCATGTCGAAAACATTCCAAGTTTTGATTAGAGAGCTACTCTACGCAGACGACGCTGACTTCTTAGCTTCTACAGAAGTTGGCATGCAACATATTATGGACCGTTTCCCATCCTCATGCACAGCATTCGGTCTAACAATAAGCCTCACAAAAACCAAGGTAATGTTTACTCTTGCCCCCAGAGAGCTATATATCGAGCCTAACATATTTGTTAATGGAATAAGATTAGGAGTAGTTTAGAATTTTGTTTACCTTGGCAGCAGAATTAAAAAAGATGGCTCAATGGATGCCGAAATATATCTACGCATCCAGAACTCCTCTGCGGCCTTCAGAAATCTGGAAAGGAGAGTATGGGCAACTCTTGATATTACCAACCATACCAAGGTATGTGTGTACAGAGCTTGCGTTCTGACAATTCTTCTATATACCTCCGAAACTTGGAAAATACTCAGCAAACATATAAAAATACTTGAGCGTTTTCAACAGAAATGACTGAGACGTATATTGAATGTCAAATAGGAAAGCAGAACTGCTGATACTGATGTCCTAGTCAAAGCCAACAGCCAAAGCCTAGAGACTCTTGTAAAATATTCCCAAATGCGAGGGACAGCACACAAATCGAATGAAGGATAGTAGACTCCTCAAATAATTGTTTTATGGTATGTTGAATATCGGAAAGTGTCCTCAGCACAAACTAAGGAAAAGATGCAAGGACTGTTATGAAGAACAACCTAAAAAGGCTGGTATTTGACTTCAACAAGTGGGAAGAGATTGCCCTAAATAGAACTGGATGGAGAGTTCAAATAAGAGACGGGTGTCAGCTTTGAAGAATATCGTCTGGAACACAAACGACTGAAAGCGGATACTTCGAATGGGTGATAAGCATGGATTCGACGAGGGCAACAAGAGCTGGACATGTGATTTCTGTCAGAGCATATTTCTTTCAAAGGCTGGCTGGCTGGTTGAATTATGTGAAGTCAGATAAAGAAAACAAATCACCTTTGACATTCCACAGACACAGAGTGTCACAGTCTGCACGCTGTGTGACAAGGTATGCAAAAACAGAACAGCTCCGGACTGGAAAGGCACATGGTGGTGCACGGGAATTAGACACAGCGATGTGAATCAATCAAAGTTGTGGCAAGCACGTTGTTTGTCTGCCACTTTTGCAACAAGTTATGCAAGTCCGCAGCCAGCCAGGCATGTCTCTTTCGGAGACATGCACGAGAGAGATGCGAAATGAGGAACGAACGTGATTAGGCGGCGTATCATCATCATCATGTAGGTATTAATCATTTTAGCTAGTGCAAGGTAATAAATCCACTAAGATGCAAAGGGCTACTGAGTGTAAAAGAATATGATTAAAAACATCATTAAGAACAAAGACCACGGAAAGAACAGTAATTAAGAATACAGAAGTTGACGATTGGCATTGCATTCACATTATTGAAGATCAAAGTTGATTGACATCGGAAGAGAGTAACTGAACCGAGAAGAAACAGCATAGAACTTACGTTTACTAGTAATGTGCTTATATTCATAAAGTCTAAGTATCAAAGACAGAAGCTAATCAGAACAATTACCGTGAAAATATTTGTAGAAAAGACATGAGAAGCAGCGTTACAAGGGTGGGAAAGTAACTGAAGCGGAGATGCCAGGTTAGGGCCAGTAACATTGCATGTTCTTCTTTACATTTTATTAAGAATCTCAAAATGCATAGCAGAAGTACAGGACTAGATATGGTTTGGTTTGGTTTGGTTTACGGCATATCAGCCTCAATTGGTTATTTAATACCGACAAAATTTTTATTGCTGGTAATATTTTTTTTCAAATATATTTTCTGATAATATTTTTTTTCAAAAATGTATTGCTGATAATGTATTGCTGGGAATATTATTTTCTTGAAAAATTTATTGCTGGTAATCATTTTTTACAAAAAATTTTCTGGTAATATTTTTTTTCAGAAATGTACTGCTGGTAATAATTTTTTCTTGAAAAATTTATTGCTGGTAATCATTTTATAAAAAAGATTTTCTGGTAATATATTATTTTAAGAAATGTATTGCTGGTAATAATTTTTTCTTGAAAAATTTTTTCTTGAAAAATTTATTACCAGCAATACATTTTATTATTGTAATCACATATAGTTTATCGTCATACCCAAGATGGTAGACTAGATATCATAGGAATATTGAATGTATGGACGAATGATAGGCTTATAAATGCGTAAGGTAGGTTCGTCACTGTGAACCAACACCCCTAGTTGCATATAGTTGCAGTAATAGCAATTAATTTAATATAATCTTTCCATTTGAGGTCATCAGCGAAAAGGCGCAATGAGATCAGAATCAGCCATGTTAATGGAAAGCAAAAATGGTTCTACGAGACGATTAAAAGACAGCAGTTTCATTTTGGGGGTGTTAAAATTAAGAAAAAAAGTCATTCCTTGCCCCAGTTAACAACAGATTAGAGGTCATGTTTAAGAGTAGCGACCAATTTTACCATATCAAACCGATCAGAATCATAGTGAAGACAGGAGTAAATAGTTTTGCCATCAGCATAGGTATCGAAAAATCAGAAATTTTGCAACAACGTAGGTCCAAGGATAGAATTCTGTAATCAACTGCACTAATATAAAAAGATCTAAAAATGTTGCCTTCAAGACAACATTCAATTTGTGATTTCATATATATATATATATATATATATATATATATATATGTATATATATATATATATATATATATGTATATGTATATATATATATATATATATAATCTATATTTAAATCGAGATTTTTTATTTCAAATACCTATTACAAAGTAAACTATCATACTAAGTATCAACTATAATAACGTTCGAATATATATATATATATATATATATATATATATATATATATATATATATATATATATATATATATATATATATATATATACAGGTAATCGATCTTTTGGTATATAATTTGGATGGACCCTAAATATTAATCATTAAAACTGATCCACAGAGAGCTCGATGTTTTTATTTCAACAAAGCATATGTATTTTTACAGCAAAAAAAACAAACAAATATATATATATATATATATATATATATATATATATATATATATATATAAGGGTGGATACTGAAATTAACAGCGAGGTGGCAGACTGAAGATTGCGTTCAAGCATGATACAGACTGTCGCCGCACGATGTTGACCTGTGTCCACTATTATATTACATGCTCTATCTCTGATGCTGCACACTTTTGCCCATAAATATAGCATAACTTAAAACTACATTTTTATCATTCACACACACACAACACACACACATACATATATATATATATATATATATATATATATATATATATATATATATATATATATATATATATATATATATTCTAAAGAAGTAAAAGTATTTTCTATCTATTAATCCGACAGATTTTAACGCTTAAACATTATTTTTAGTGGATACCCACATTTGATTAGAGTCTGCATTTATTTATTTATTAAACAGTATGTTTATTTACTTTCGTTCACAGGCATGAATATTCGATAAATCTTATTAAAGAAAAATATGCGCTCTCCGACAGGATTTGAACCTGCGTCGACTTGGGCACGTCGGATCTAACGACGGTTCCCTCTAACCAGGGGGACGCAAGTTCGAATCCTACCGATGAGTGCATATTTTTCCATCCTTCGGGGATTTTACTAATAAAGGTTTTTATATATATATATATATATATATATATATATATATATATATATATATATATATATATATATATATAGAGAAATAGGTAAAATCAAGTGCAGGCATTTCAAGATGTTTCTTACCTTTGAAGATGGGGCATATTTTCCAGACTCCCAGACCTCCAGAGCTGCACATTTGTCCAAGCGTAAGTTCCAAGAGATACATTGAATTCCTGCAGCAATAACTGTCATGAAATAAGGGATGAGGAAGGCACCTGGCAAGGAGTAAAAGAAAATGATTTTTATTGTAGAGAATGCAAGGATCGATCTTTATACATTATAAATAACTTTGTGACAAAATCTTCTCAGCAAATTAGCATTCCAGCTGTAACGTTATTTTTATATATTTTCATAGGAAAACGGGACTTAATCTCTTATACGTAACATTATATTCTATTCAAATCCGGACTTCTACTTCAGGATACAAGAGACTCCATCCCTCTTCTCTCTCGGGTGGGCGCTTATATATCTACTTGTCATACGGGTTTTCCACTTCATGCACATCATGTGCGCAGATGGGTCGACTACGTGTTTAATTGTCGAAGACAGCTATACTACCTGGTGGGTGGTATGTTATCTTTCAGGTCAACCCACCGATGCACCTGGTTTCTCTGAAGCTCTGGTTTAAAACGGAGCAAAGTCTATTTTGGCAACATCTGAGATGAGTAACATACTACAGAATGTAACGGCGAGAAACCTACGTAACGAGCTTCTGTAAATGGAATACAGAAACAGGGACTTTGAGAGATAACCAAAAGGAAAATGTTGCTAAGAACTACATAAGGTAGGAAATGGTGGAGAGTCGTTATCCCTAACGTTCTCAGTAGACAAAGCACATTAAAGAAGGATTAATTTGTTTTTACTGTTTATCAACCCTTTGTGCGTTAGTTAAAGTCGAAATATATTTTGCACTGTATGAATAATTGTTTTTTGGCCAGTTAATATTGCATTAACAATTTTATGAAAATAAAAATGATTTTTCCAGATACATATCTTACTATTTGACCCATAGATGAGGGAGGAGAGGAATTCTTATATTTTCCAAGGGTATTTGCGCATAAGTGGATGTAACAGACCCGACTCCAATTCGATCTCTGTTCTTTGATTTATCATTCCAAGACATTTTACGCTACACGGACATTCAGATAACAGAAGAAAACGTATTTCTGATGATCAGTAACGTATTTTCGAATAGTAACGTATGTCTGATGAATAGTAACGTATTGTCAAATAATAACGTATTTCTGGTGAATAATGAAGTACTTCCGAGCAGTAACGTATGTTTTATTTAAAGTATTGTATTTCAGAATATTAATGAGTTTGCCGACTCCTTTATTATGGTAACACGAACTATGTTCACTTATCGGTGTCTTCTGCTACCATAACAACGTTATATCTCGTTAGTAAATAGAAACGATTCAAATACTGCAGCAGATTTGAGGAAGTAGAATTTTAAATTTCTGGTAAATGATTTCTCCGTTGAATTTGGCCTATCTTTTATGTCCCGTGTTCTTTCAGGATTTAGGCGATCATGGCTCTCCACTTCCCCCTAAGCTCTCAATAAGTTTTGTCCCTCTGCCACCCCCCAGACCACGTTCTGTCATCCATTTGCTTAAGCCCGTCATGCGTTGCTTGTCTTTCTTTCCCTCTATTCGCCCTGTGAGTATCAGATTCTCCAGGTCCTGCTTTCTCATTACTTGTCCCAAAAACTTCATCTGCCTCTTCCTGATGCTAAGTATAAGCCTACTCCTTGTTTGCATCCTTTCCAAGACCTGATCGTTGCTCACACGTTCGGTCCATGATATCCTTAGCATCCTTCTGTAGAACCATACTCCCGTTGCCTCGAGTCACTTCTTCATCTTTGAGGAGACCGTCCAACATTCGCTGCCGTAAAAGACGACAGATGTCACGTAAGAGCTCAGTACTCTTTTCTTTGTAACCGAAGAGAACCTGCTGTCTCGCAATACTCTGCCCAGCTTTTGGAATGTATACTTGACCATCCCAGTACGTCTACGGATCTCTGAAGGTTAGATATCTGGGAAAATGTTTTGACAGAGGTCGACAAGTGCGACACTGAGATTTCGCCTGTCGCAAAGCGATAATAGAAGGGCAGATCGTAAAAATCGAGCTTATCAGTAATTAGTAAGGACGAAATTCAAGGAATTGTTTTTGAACCTACAAAAATTCATGGTAAGGCTTGAACCAGATTTGGCGCGATTAACAACTCACTTGTGTTGTTTTGAATCGCTAATGATCAATAAACAAGATCAAATTGCACTTATTTAACTTGGCTAGACCGTGAAATGCCATCTGAAAATGTTTGATGATTAAAAATCATTACAGCTACTCCACTGATCCGCCCGTTTTTCAGAAGCAGAAAGGAACTGGATAATTTGGTAAAGACAAATATTTGAACCGAGCTAAGTGCTTAAACACTAACACCAATTCAAGTGGATCAAAGAGAAATAATTACTGAAAGACTCATTTCTCTTAATTATATCAATTAATAGATGCTTATGTAATTTTCAACATTCAGTCTAAATAAAACCTCAAAAATTTAATCAATA